AGCTCCAGATTTCAAACACATATACAAAGCAAAGCAGCAGCCAGTCTCCCCCACACCGCCCTGAGAAAAACTGCAGGCTGAAATCCCGCGCGCAGCCTGCAGCAGCAATGGCTCGCCCCACAGCCTGGCCAGGGCTCTCCTGCCGGCCGCTCCATGGTCAGCCCCAGCCGCTAAGTCAACACGGGGTGGTGGGCAGGTCCCGAAAACAAAGATCTCTCCTGTTTCCCATGCTTTTCAATCTTGACTCTTCGGAGCAAGAATTAGGCTGGGCTAAATTACGAGGGGACAAATTGCAGGAGGCGGGCAAGATGGAGAGGGACAGCAACAGCAGAGCTGATTGTTCCCGGGTCTGCGCGGCAGCAGCAGCGGCTGCTCTCCATCCTGTGTACTTAGCAATGGGTCCAGAAGTTTCTTGCTACCTGCTGCTATGGGGGAAACGTGCCCTCCAAGCAGCCAGCTCCACTCCCACCACCCCTGCCTTGCCCAGGGGCACAGGTCTGGGTGGTGGCTGGGAGAAGGAGGAGTCACGTTCCTCGGTGATGTTTTTGTGGTGCGTGGCACCAGCTCTGTGCCATGGCGAGAGCAGTTTGGAGAAAGCTGTTGTCTAGGGCACCGCTGCCTCCCTCCGCGCTCCCAGCTGCGCACACTCTTCCACCTCAGCACGACCGAGCCGTGCAAGCGAACCCCGCTGTGCCGCCCAGCCACCGGCAATGCCGCTTGGCAGCTCCCCCTGCTCAAAAGCACGGGGTGAATTTATGGACCAGTTTTATGATGTGAGCTAACACCCCATATATATTCACTCCCACACCCCCATCACCAAATAACCCGATGTGATGCTGTCTTACATGCTGGAAAAGAGCATGCGTCCATGGAGAAGCACTTCAACGGATGTGCGTTGCAAGCACTGATGGATTCCAACATTTCGGCAGCTTCCCCGTTGACTGACACTTCCCCTGTCAGTTCAGCCAGGGGACACCTGCAGGGGGAAGTCCAAAGGCAAAATACATGCATTAGTTGCTATCTTTTACACCTATGCCGGTCAGCTAGAGCAATACCCTGACTTGCTTAGCCTTGCCAAGTCAAAAGAGCCTTCTGTTCGAAGAGGGACTGCTTCATAGCAGAAATTCCTGCCTGGCTACCAAGCAGTACTAGGAGATGGCTGCACGAAAGTATGAGCTCACAGCCTGGGGATGTGGAGAAAGTGTGTCTGGATTTTTTGCTGTAGGCCTTTTGCGAGGAAGCAATTAGAGAAAACTTGGCAAATGAAATGAGAGTGAAAACAGTGATGAAATGAACCCCATTCCCAACCCTGCCATCTGGGCAAACTGTGCAATACGAAGACTCTAGAGTGAAGAAGAAAAGGTCTTTGCGTTATTTTTATGTCTTACCCTGAGGCTGGGCTGAGGCTTCTTATAACCCCCAGCAACAGGCCACCGAGGGAACCAAGCTTGCCGCATCACAGCTTTTCATCCAGGCTCTCACCCACATCCCACCGGCAGCAGGAAGGTAGCACAGAGTTGAAGGCAGCAAGTACTTATCTTAAAGGGATCCTGCCTAAGCCAAAAGAAAATTACAAAAGGGATTGAAGGGCAGCTGCAAACCTGCATGCAGCCCCTGGAGTGCCAAGCTGCAGGATCCAGCCAAGCGCTGCCATATTTCACTCGCTCTGGACCTGGCATCCTGCAGTGGTTGTGATCTCCCCCTCCTGCTGTTAGGATGACGTTAATGCTTTTGTAGGTACATTTTCCCTTACAGTCAAGGTGCCAGCTGTAGATATGCCTCACTTCAAGTGAATTATTGCCCTTCTAGGATTTATTAATTAGCCTTATCCAAACATCCACCGCTTTAAATCCATTTTTCTTTTCCTGCTAGTATACAGAAGTCTGTTATCAACATACCACTATTTGGACTGAGACGTAGCACTCTGCTCCGAAAGAGCGGCTCTCTTAATAAAAAGAAGGGGAAGTGTGAGCAGAGAGTGATATTTAAGAGGATGCTTGAGAGACACGATAAACAATTCACTCCCTCCTCATACCAGTTTTACTTTAAGTTTTACTTTACACTGACATCAGTGTCTCTGGCCAGGTACGGCTTTCATACCATATAGAGCTGCCTAGCAGGAGAGGATTGATGCCGTGCAGCTCGTCAGGTGAATGGGGGCTCTTACTTCAATCTCTGCAGCTATTCCTCACACCTCACATACAGCTTGACTAATAAACACGATGGATAAGACCTAGCCTGGGCATTTCTATTGAATTTTCTCTCTGAAGATCTCAAAGCACTTGACAATTATTCACAAATTTTTTAACTGAGCAGCACTCCGAGGAAAGCATAAACATTTTAGCTCTTGCCTTCAGATGCAGAGAAACTTTGGAGTTTGGGATACAAGAACCACAGTGCCCCTCTCTGCCAGGGGTGAGCTGGAAGGGTACCGCCATCCCTAGTCGTTATGATATAGCAGTGGGCAGGATAAGCCAGTGTCTGATGCCAGCCCCTGAATTTCCCTTGTGTTTATCTGCTGACTCTTTAATTAAAAAAAATAATCTGCTGGTATAAACATGGCAGAAGCAGGTGTCAGCATGTATATCCAATAGTCCAGTGGTCCAGCCATGCAGGAGGTATGTAGAAGTGAATTGAACCTCCCTAGCCGAGAGTTGCGTACTTATCATTGCAAGGAGAAGGAAAAGAAAATAAGAAAAAAGGCAACGCTCCCTTTGTCCCGTTAGAACTATTCTGTTTTTTCATGCATTGGAAAAAGGCTAGGTTAGGACACTCAGGCAGGAAAATCTAGCCCCCGTAGTCACCACTCCAGGTAGTATTTAATATTTAAAAACCCTTGAAAGAAGGGATAAACACCAAGTGCTCATTTGTTTAGCCAGGCCCAGAACTACATTCCCTTACTGTAAATTCCTTGGGGAGGAAGGGTTTTTTTCTGCATGTTTGCATGTTGCAAAACAGAAGGTTGCAAACAAGACACTAATTCTTGGCATAATTGCATTCCTCTTAAGTTTCAAAGCTAAAATTGGGCTCCATGAGGTTTTTTTCCAAAACACCCAGCTCAGGCCGTAAGTGGAGGAAATTCACACCATTTACTTTTGGACACCTAAAAGCAAAATGCATCACTCAGTCTTCCTAAGTTCCCTCTAGACCTGTCTCTGAGACACGGTTTTCCAAAGTCTGGTTCGGTTGTCCTTGGAAGAAACCTGACTTTCTCTTCCCATTGACGATAGTGGAAGTCCAGGGACTGATTTTCAGTATCTCTCCCTTACTACAAAATCTCACTGCAAACCGTTCTGAGTGCCAGATGGCTTCACGGACATTACTTCTCTCTAGAACAGCTGATTGCTTTGTTTGGATGACAAGGCCAAGCATTTCAACAGGATCCTGCATAAATAGCTTTGTTTCTTGCTTTTATGAAGTTATCAAGGAGAACACAAAAGCCCTGAGCATCACAAACTGGAACCTGAGATGCTTGGAAGATTCTTAATGACTATGTACAGGCAGGAAAGCACAGCTTGAGCGTGATTATCTTCTCCCTTTTCTCTTTCCTTAAGACATACCAAAGCACGTTCCAGCCAGAAAAAAAGAGAAAAAGCTGAAGTGACACATATCAGATCAGTTGGGTATTTACTCTTTGCTGAGAGGCATGCCCATCGCCAGTTTGGTGCAGAAGGAGGAAATAGATAGCCAGAAGCTGCTGAAAAAAACACAGCTACCTCTCAGTTGTGGTCACTTAGGGCTCTATGAGGAATGCGTAATATTTCCTTTAAAAAAATTGCTTAGAGGTTGTCGTCCTCACAAAAAATTAATTGCAAAAACATAGAAATTGTAGTGGGTCTCAAAGCACAAGAACTTTGGAATTTAAAAAAGACCTACAAGAAAAATGATTTCTAGAATCATGAACACTCCCTGCGCCACACTACTCATCCAGAGTAAATTACTGAAACCATCAGGACCACATGAAATGGTGTCTGAGCAGGACCTACATAATTTAGGGCAGTCTAAGCATGTACGCCTTAAACAGCAATCAACAGTAGTCTGAATACTGTAGAGCATACCTCTGGTGATACTTTTGCAGAGGGTGCACCACGCAAAGATAGCAGGGCTTTTTAAACAAACCAACCAACCAACCCACCCTGCCAAAAAACATACTGAAGGCTTAGGGACTCGTGAAGGAGGTTTGCAGACTACCATGCCAGAGTGGACCACTCTGACATAGACAGGTCTCAGCCCTCTGGCAGCCATAGTGTGTCCCAGAATAACCATGTTTAGTCATATTAGAAGTTTTGACCAGGAGAAAACACCCTATTGCACAATTATCTCCTCTGCCCCAATTCCTCCATTAGCTTCATGAGACCTCAAGTGACCAGAGTCTAAGAGCTTCCACCCCACAAAAGTGTCTCTTTGTACATTAGCTCTGAATAAAAGAAAGTTGTTGTCTCCTGGCCCATCATTACAGCTTCTTTCAAAAAGCACAGGATTTTAAAAGAAGTGCATAAAAATTCTCCAAAGGCTCCAGTGTGTTCCCAAACTCTGAAACATCAGTATTCAAATAGTTTGAATCCATAAACCCATCTTGGCCCTTAACAAAAAGGCTTTGTTAGCCCTATTTAAGCCTCAAAATTGTAATCCATGTCAGAGTGAGTTTTAGGGTTGAAAGTAAAGTTAACGTGTAAGCAGAATATGGGTCAGAAATTAAAACTAAAATTTATTAGCAGGGTGTGAAAACTCGGTTAAAGGAGAATCGGGCTGTTCTCCCTGCCCTTTTCTCCTACCCCTGATATTTTTCACCCTAGCAATATAGCAGATACAATTTCTCTTCGGTGCATAACTTCCAGGGCAAAACCTCTATGAAAGCTAGAGTGGTTCTGATAGCGAGGAGAAAAGCTATTTTATCACTTCTGCAGGTTTCATGGAAAAAAGCTCTGAAGACAACCAGCAGCAGGCATGAACTTAGAGCACCAGAGCTGGGTAGTTTTGAACCTCTTTTTCCTCAACACCCATGGTTTCCTTATAGGATAACAGAGAGAATATTTATTAGAAGTATCAGAGGCATTTAGGAGCATGAATTCCTTTGGACTTGCAAGAGTTTTATGCATTATATCCAAGCAGTGCTTTTGAAATACTTTCAAAATGTTTTTTTGGGAGGGTGGTGGAAATCAGACTCTAGGGCTTTTGAATAGAAGTTTGTGGACCAGACATCATAGGCATCCAGAAATGGTTGGACACTGTCATTAGACCGAACGACTGGTCAGGGAGAAGCAGATATATAGTCCTCACCTTACTCTTAGTGTTCAGAAGGATTTTTCCCCATTCAAGCAGCTGGAATGGGGTATTTTCTTTGGTTAGAGATTACGGTCCATCACATGGCTATGCAGGGTAGTCGTCTTTATGGTGGGGTCTCCTAAGTGCTGGCATGAAACAGCTACGTTATAGAGGCACAAGAAACTGATAGTATTTGTGCTGTTTGCAGATTGCTGCAGCCCTTGGAACAAGCATTACCTGGCAGAAGGCGCTACACGAATGGCCTCAAGTGCTTGGAAAGGAGAATCCATTCAACAACCAGATTGAAGCTATATTCAAAGATCAAGGTGGACACTGACTTCCGAACTGCTGGAGCCCTGACGCAGTTTACGGGGATGCTTCCCAGTGCATTCCACGAAACAAGATGATTAAAGACACACACAAAATACAGGGGGAGGGCAAGTTATCAGAGCCAGTAGCAATGGACATAAGATAACAGCATTCTTTTTAGTCTTGTATCTCACCTGCACAAGTAGGCTACGCTTTTTTGTGGAGTTACAAAAATTAAAATGAAAGGATACAGCTAGACTGTTTGTTGTACTGGTTTGCAAATCCATACAATTTTTTCTATATATAGCACACTCCTAGCCCTACCTATATTTTTTTTTTCCCCTGCAGAACATTATTTCTGGGCTTTCCATTTGTACTGTTTCAATAGTTAATTTGATCCCAGAAGGGGGTGGGGGAAACCCCAAACTCATTATGTTGCTATAAATTGTGCGTATGTAATTGCCCTGGCTGTCAATACATTATTTAGCTGCTATTTGCTTATTAAAATGTGCCAGGAATAACAAGGCACTAGAATTTTGATTTGCCTGGCAGCATTAGTGCAGGCTGACTGAGCACAGGTTCTCTTCCCCCCCATTAACAAGATAGTAACTTGACAACCCTTCATGCATTTAAAACAGGTTGCTTTTTCAAGATCTAATACATATTTGCTCTTTTGCTTCTTAACAAATATGATATACCCAGTCCCGTACCTTTTACGGGCATGACCCAGGGAATCACTGAAGATACTGGGCAGCCCTTACCTGCTCTATTTCATACGCAGAATCGAAGGTTGAGAATTAATGGTAGTTTTTTCACCAGTTTATCTGATACTCTTTGCAAAATAAGTAAACAAATATATATACACATATAAGATTAGGGATAGCTCTACCCTACTCGCAGCCCTGCTGGTGATGAAGGGATCAGACAGCAAAAATGTCACTAACTATACATGAAAAAAAAAATCTGGTAAATAGGAAGTGTTAACATGGCATGACTAAAACCCATCCAAATTAGCCAAAGCTCAGGTAGACTTGCTCTTCGTTCTGAACACGTCCCGTGCGTAAGGCTGCATCACCCGTGAGCCAGCTCTTAAGCTGCGGTCCAAAGTGAAGGAGGTGGCCTGGTCTTGTATGGCCCTTAGCACACTGGCCATGGCTGCAGGAGATGCATCCGATCAGTATTTTGAATAGGCAGAGGATGACTTGCTAATGCTATTTCAATTGAAGCTCATATTATTGCTATCCTAGATCCTTTTTTTTTTAAGTACAGTCAATGCTGCATCTTTTATTAAGATAGAAATTCCTTTGGGACAACTGCTAACATTTAAGGAAATATTCAAGTCACGTACTTTAGGAAACCAAAAGGGAATACATTCCTTAATTGAATGATGCTTACTAATAAGGCCCCAATTCATTCAAGGCATTTAGATGTTACCAAAATATCCGGTCTCCCATGAAACAGTTTCAACTCCACAGAGGCGTATCTGAGGAAGACTATTTAACATAAGAAGGAAAAGGAAACCTACCTGCTTCCTGTAAGAATTCTTTCCACCAAACAGCGTGGCATTCGATGCACACTGGCCAGGTAGTGCATTTTTTTTTATTACCTATTCGGGTTTCCTATCTTTCATTAAAAACAACACAAGGACAGAAACAAGTGCATCCAATGGTTTTACTATAGACCAAGTACAGCACAGGCAATAGTTACAGAATATCAAATAATTTCCATTCCATAAAATACAGAAATGTAGCAATTAAAAGGGGGAAGGGAACAGTATGTGTTTAGAAGCTAAATTTTCAGGCAATCTCATTGCAAATTATTGTATTTTGTTTGAGGCTGGGATTTAATAACACCAATTAGGAGTTTTACAAGCTAGTAAAACCGAGATTTCCTCAGCTAAAATAAGCTTCATTGCCCAGAGCAAAGCATTTTCCATTTATAAACTTTCTTATTAGTGAACATCCTGAATTTCTGAACAATGGGAAAAAAGCTTCCTTATAAAATTAGAACATCATCTTCTCAATCAAAGATGACCTGAAACCCCCGTAGCTGAAGCCCAGGGCAAAGCTCTCGGATTTGCCCAGTATTACTGCTCCGTGCTCGGCATAGGGTCACCGAGGGACTTCACGAAGGGGGCTTGCCCCTGGCTGAAGGAGCACTAACCAGACTACAGCCTCGTGCCTCAGAGGCAAGCTCTGCAGTTCAAATTAGAAGTAGGCTGTATGCAGAAACTTGATTTGTAACTAATGCAGTAAATATTTGCAAATAAAGATGAATTTTGGGCCTGTTAAGCTGACAGCTTTTACAACCACTATGTCTCTCTATTATTTCAAAGAATGCAAAAACCAGCTGAAGATCTGCACCCCCAACCATCAATCACTTACCAGCACCATTCTAAAAATAAACCTCCTATATTTAAACAAATGCTTCTGAAAAAGCTTGCTTATTCTAAAGCAGTAACAAATTGTGAATCCTAGTCTCTTCTTAGTTTAACTGTCTCCTGGTGCTTAGATTGGTTGGAGGTGACAAATGCCTGGGGAAGAGAGAAATAAACAGGAAAAGAAAAGTTTCTCTTGGAAAGCTAGGTATAGTTCCATGAAATTTCTAGATTTCTAGAAGGAATGGTCTATCAAGGTCTTTTTTGGGGGAGAGTTAGAGCATGTAAATACAGGGGGGATTATCTCACTGGCAAGTTCCAATGCATTGCAAAGGAAGGCTTTTTTTGATGTTATTCTGTTCATAAACTGTTTCTACGAAACTTAAAGCTTGTTTGAAATCAGACAGTAGAAACTATTTTTGAGGTATAGAACAAATAGCTTCAGGTATCTGTAGATGACTTCACGCAGTCTGGCCTTTTCCAAAAGGATCCGCCACAAACATGAAAAAATGTTTGCCAACATTTTCAAAAAATTTTCAACAGCTCACCCTTAAAAGAGCAGGGGAACGCAGGAGGCGAGGAGGTACACAGCGGTGCGAGTCAAGTCGAGCCGTAAATGCAGGCTTGCTGCTAAGCTAGCATCACAGGCTTCTGCGGGCTGCAGTAGCACGTCATCGCCACTGACAGCTTGTGCCTAGAACTCACCATCCAGGTCAGCTTTTCTAACTCACATCACTTGTTACACTTCATACCTTTGCTTGATGAGGATAATTTTTCATCTTGGGCAATGAACACAGAGATTAGTTTCTACAATGGATAATAGCCCAATTAGCCTAAATAAAAATAGGTCATTCCCTTAGATATATCCAGTTCCATTCTTAACACCTTTCTATGGACTCGTTTCATAACCTTATATTTAATGATTTTTATTAACATCCACTTGGAAGTTTAAGTAGACAGCCCACCGTGGATCCACAGATTATATTTGCTCTTCCACTGTCCATGCTGTATCGCTACTCTGCTGCTGTGTCTCCCCAGGAGAAAAGAGCCATCTCTCCTCTCCATACTTGATGAACTGCTGGTCGCTAGCAGCCCCTACATTCACACACCTTCCAACCAGTTCATGGTAACTGCCCACAGACAATACGGCCTCCCGCTATGAAATTTGGTGCTAGCTACCCCCAAGACACCACATTACCTTCTCAAATCAAGTGGTATTTTGGGATATACATACTGAATAGAATCCTTTCTTAAACATTGTGTGGAGTCCAGCTTTTCTTCTTCAGTCTACAAGCTAGTATCTCAAATGCACAGATGACATTATGGAAAAAGCATAAAGTGTTTTATTCTTTATTTTAAATGAATAAAATAAATCTTAATACATAGTTTGGAAATATTTAAAGACATCAGAAAAAGAAAACTAGATTTAAAAGCAAAAGTACAAAAGTGGCAGGATGAAAACAGTATAAGCTAACAGAATTTAGTGTTTCAAGTGTGAATATATAACAGCAATAGCAATTTTAAGTATTCCACTATTGCATTCACAATAGCGAAGTAATGAGATAGTATTTCACTAAGACCAGTGAAAAGCTGTGAAAATTGCAAGTTTTAACTGAATAGTTTTGCCATTTTAATGATGGGTCTGAAGTAAATGTTTTTATCTGCATTTATGGACCTGTCTATGAGGGGAAGGAAGACCCATACTTTTGGCCAGCCGAGTATTAATCGGTACATAGCAGCTTCGTAGTCTCTTATAAAAAAAGCACTTTTACAACCTATTCTTGGTTCTCAAATAGAGGAGGAATCTAGCTTGTACAGATCATGAGTCCCAGAAAATACTGACGTATACAACGCTAAAACTAATTTTTTTGGTTTTTGTTTTTGTTTTGTTTTGTTTTTTAAATATAGCAGTCCTAACAAAAGTATTCAAGACCTTTCATTTCTATCAAAGTGCAATATACTGCATACATAATTCCACACCTGTAAACCACACAGGATACATGCCATGCACTTATCCATACCAGTTTGTATGAGAAATTGCAAAAGAAGTACGCATATATTGTGCATATTTTTTGTTCTGACCACAAGGACACTGTGCAAGCAAGAAATACCTATATTGCATGTTGTAGAATAAAATTTACTAGTAACTTTATGCCTGATCATTACAAAAAGAACCCGACAAACCCTCCAATATTAAATCTTGTGCTTCAGGACCATCCTTCTTAGAGAACTCTGAGCTATTGTTTCTTTCAGGGAGCTGAGTTACCTAGTAAGCTTGTTTTTTCACTAGCTTGCCCCCCCTTCTGCCCTGACGTATGATTTCCTGCAATAATTTAGTTGTTTAAAGAGAATGTACTTAGCTAAAAGGGACTTCCAAAAAAGGAGTTACATAAATATTTAGCACTTTTAGAAACAGCTAATTGCTTCCTACCATACTCAAAAGCTAGGAAACAAAAAAGTTTTAAAATTCTTGAAGTGAAATAAAAATACCGCATAACACAGTCCTGTATAATGTTACATACTCTCTCAGATTTAAAGCATAAGTGACCCAGACTTCCCACACTTTCATTTAAGTTCTTTTTTTGTGTAGTTCATGCAGGTTTTCGCATACATATTTTCTTCATATTTCCCTTCCAGAGTTTAAAGCTTTCCAATAGGTTTGTAGCAGGCATCAGGCTGCCACATGCGAAGGTCAACAAGGACTTGGTTGAGCTTTTGCATCCAAAGGTTACGCTCCTCTTTAGTATCAGCAGACAGCCAGTTCCTAAAAGGCAAAAGAACCCAATGGATTAGATATGTCTTTCTCCGCTTCCACTTAGTTATTCTGAAAAACGTCAAGCTGATCATCCATGAAAGCCCAAATAGCAGGGGAAAAAATGAAGCCAAATATTCCACAATCCTGCTACCAAGCTACCTGGAATTTCCACTTCTGGAAAAGTTGAGTTCTTTGTCCTCAGAATACTGAAGTGAGATAGCAAGACAAAATAGGACTAGAAGTGAACCAAACAATTCAAGTGTCATCCCAAAGTCTTAGCATTTAAATGAGCTTTGCATGTCCAAGTTGTAAAGCTCCTATGTTATTAAAACTATCACTTGAGGCAAAACATGCCTCCCACACACATCCCATAACCTCCCACAATCTTCATGATTTTATCCACTCACTTTGTAACACAGAGCGTGTCTCTGCATTGGCTGACAAGAGTCTCTCTGTCATCTTCCCTCTGAGGACGGACAGTTATTAGTTCAAAAGTGTTGGGACGGGCACAGAACTCCCTGTTGGCAGGTTCAATCTGAAGATTAGTGCAGTTAGCCAAGTTTATCCGGCCCAAAGGATGCTGAAAGTGAAGTTAGTTCATCAGTCAAGAATATTACTATCAAGAGTAATTCTGAAAAACATACGCTTTCACAATTTTTGCCATATTAAGTGAAAGCCGCCCCCCAAATCAATCACCCCATGTAAAAAGAGGGATTCCACTTCTTGCATTTAAGAGCCATAGCTGAACCAAGATAGTATAGACAATGGAACATGCCCTGGCTTAGCCACGTACAATACAGCTAACAAATGCATCCTTTACCAAAACCTTAGGCTCTAGAAAGATATATCCCCCCTTTTCTTTTTTCCTTAGGAAAAAAAAAAAAAAAGAGCTTTTTAACTCTCAAATTCAAGAGACCTTCACAATAAAATACAAACTGATAGAGTAAACCCTGTCAAAGCCTACAGAAAACAAGCACTTTAGGGACGCTTGCATCATTCTTGTCAAAGCCTATAAGCAATGGATTCATCTTCAAACATGCAACTAAGGCACCTAAGTGCCACATCAGCTGCTTTAGCTCCCTCTATAGTCAGTAGCTAACTAGACCCCTTCAAAGAGCATTTCGAATTTTAAGGCAG